GGAGGGGTGTGCGTGTGTGTGTGCGTGTGTGTGTGCAGGGGAGCTGAGAGGAGGGGTGTGCGTGCATGTGTGTGCGGGGGGAGCTGAGAGGAGGGGGGTGTGCGTGCGTGTGTGTGCAGGGAGAGCTGAGAGGTGTGTGTGCATGTGTGTGCATGTGCATGTGGGGGGGAGCTGAGAGGAGGTGTGTGTGTGCAGGGGGAGCTGAGAGGCGTGTGTGTGCGCGTGCGTGTGCGTGCACGCGTGCAGTGGGAGCTGAGAGGACATGGCACCCGAGGACGTGTGTGCAGGGGGAGGGGTACAGGCCCTTCCTCCCACCAGCCATGTGATGGGCTGTTCTATCCCTGGTTGTCCAGTGGGACAGTCCTTGAAGCAGGAATGGAGTGGCGACTTCACATGGGGGCATCAATAGGAAATGACAGGCCCGACTTTCTCTTCTTTCCAGCACGTTCCTCTTGGGGAACATGGCCTGGTAATGGGGCTTTTGCAGGTGCTCATTGGTTACTAAAGGTCAGTGCAGCTCTGTGTGTCCAGAGACTTGTCCTGTGCTGACTGGCTGGGTGGCCACAATCTGCAGGTGGTCTTAGTCCGATTTAGAAGGGCTGCGTGTGCAAGATACACTCAGATTTCAGAGACTTTAAGGTTGTGATTACAGGCAGACACCACCACGCCTGTCTAGAATTCAGAGAATCTGAATCTAAATGTAAAAGACTGGATAATTAAGGTGAGACCATAATCCTACCTCCCAGAGGTCACAGCTAGAAGCCCTGGACGCCCTCTCTCCACCGTCCCACACTTACATGGCTGCCGACTGCCTTCCTGGGGCTCTCAGCTTCTTCAGGCTCCTATCCTGAGGGCTCTCTGCAGACTTGGCTCTGTCATTTCTGAAAAATCCTTTTCTACTTTATTTGTTTTATTTTATTTTTTTGTCAGTTCTGGGGCTTGAACTCTGGGCCTGGGCGCTGTCCCTCAGCTCTTCAGCTCAAGGCTAGCGCTCTACCACTTGAGCCACAGTGCCACTTCTGGCTTTTTCTGCTTACGTGGTGCTGAGGAATCAAACCCAGGGCCTCATGCATGCAAGGCAAGCACTCTACCACTGAGCCACCTTCCCAGCCCCTTTTCTATTTTAATACTCAGTCCTTCCAACGTTATACCCCACTTGCTGCCTGTTCACACCATTGCTTTCAGTCACTGAGGGCAGAGGTCATGGTCTCTCAGCTTTCTGTTCTATGTCTCCTTTCCAAATGACAGGGTGTGAGAAGCAAGGCACGTCTTCTTGCAGTTTATTAATAACCTTTTGTATTGCAGATTCCCTGAAATGATCGATTGTAGATATAATGGGTTAGGTAAATATAATGTTAGTCTTTACCACTTTTCTCTTTTTTGGTCGGTTGTGGGGTTTGAACTGTGAGCCTGGGCACTGTCCCTGAGCTCTTCAGCTCAAGGCGAGCACTCTACCACTTGAGCCACAGAGCCACTTCTGGTTTTCTGAGTGGTTTTATTGGAGATAAGAGTCTCAACAGACGTTCCTGCCTGGATTGGCTTTGAACCGTGATCCTCAGATTTCAGCCTCCTGAGTAGCTAGGATTATAGGCGTGAGCCACCAGCGCCCTGCTACCTACTCACTTTTCTAATGTGGCTTCTAGAAAATGTGAAATCACCCTATGGGGCAGCTCCATTTTAGAGTGGAAGGCAACTAGCACCAAGCCACCTCCAGAACACCCTGGGGCTTTCCAGGAGGATGGGGGGAGGGGGCTTGGTGGTGGAGTGCTTGCCTGGCATGCATGAAGCCCTGGGTTCCATTCCTCAGTACCACATACACAGAAAAGGCTGGAAGTGGCATGGTGTCTGTGGCCCAAGCACTCTACTGCTATCCTTGAGCAAAAGAAACTTAGGGACAGTGCCCAGGCCCTGAGTTCAATCCCCAGTACTGGAAAAAAAAAAATCCAACATCTCAGTCCTGGTCAAAAACATGTATTAATCAAATAACGGAAAAAGAACTCAAAGAACCTAAGCAAAAATGGAAACTCCCTGGCTTCTAATTAGGGTCTGGGATGGAGCTAGCCAGTGTGTCTGTGGTGGGTGTGGAGCACTCTCAGGATGTATCTTACCCCTCCCCCAAGCCAGCTGGAGGTTCCTTCCTGCTCTGCCTCCTGACTGACAGCTTTGTCCTCACAGCACCGCAGTGGCTGCACCTCTGAGGGTCCATATTCTGGATAGGAGCAGCAGAGAGGCAGAGGCAGGGCACGGGTGCAGGGCCTTGGTCTGTGCCTGACCCCCAGTTCAAAGGTCAGATCTAAGTCAGCAGGAAGATTTCAGGCAGCCGCAGCTGCGTACACAGCAAGCTGGGTAGCTGGGCTCCCCCAGCCTCATCAGGAAACTTCAGACTCACTAATTCCTGCCGTCAGCAGACTTAGGCAGGCAGTAGTTCTGCTCCACGGGTCCCTCTGCCTGACCGGGTCGTGTTCCTGGCCAGGCCTGGCCTGCAGGAATTAGTGAGTCTGAAGTTTCCTGAGGCCACCACCAGCCTGAGGGAGCTGGGGCAGACTTGCCTCAGGCCTGTGGTCACAGTGACTCATGTCCCTGAGTGCAGTATCCACTTGGACCTCATGCAGCTGTTCAGCCTCCCGGCCCCTGCCGTCTGCCTTCCTGTCTGTCTCCTTCCCCATAAGCTGGCCCCAATGTCCTTGTCATCAGATGGAAAAGCCGGTTCAGCTACTTCAAGTGGTTTCCACAGGGACTCAACATTGAAAGGGTTAAACAGAGCCAAGTCCCACAGTCCCTGTGCCCTAGGGGGCTTCAGCCTGACCCGGCAGCTCTGGGCACCATGCCTTACCAGAGTCCTCTAGCAGGAAGCCTCACCTGGGAGGTGCCGCAGGTCACCCCCGAGACAGTCCTCATAGGCAGAGAGAGGGCGTTCAGCATTGCATCTGGACAGCAGGCCTGGCCTGGCCAGGCAGCCCTAACACCAAGCCATCCATGTGAGCCCATCGCCAGGGTCTCCTGCCTGCCATGGCTGCTCAGCCAGGGGGCACGCTCCTGCACACAGGCCCTGACCACTTCCCCCTGAGTCCAAAGAGCCAGCCTAGGACAGCCGCGGAGCCTTGCCAGACATCTGCAGAGCACCAGCTTGCCCGCGCCTGCTCTCACAGAACCACATTGAAACATAAGCTTATGGCGTAGTAGCTTCAGCATACTTACAGCTGTGAAGCCGTCACTGGGCTGGACGTTAGGTCATTTTGTCACCTCACAGGAACCCTGGCCCTGCCTGCCGTCATTCTTCACCTACACACACACACACCGGTGCAACAACCACAACCTACACACACACACACACGCACACCGGTGCAACAACCACAACCTACACACACACACCAGTGCAACAACCACAACCTACACACACACTGGTGCAACAACCACAACCACACACACACACACACACTGGTGCAACAACCACAACCTACACACACACACACCGGTGCAACAACCACAACCTACACACACACACACACCGGTGCAACAACCACAGCCTATTTACTTCTTTTTTGGGCAGTACTAGGGTTTGAACTCAGGGCCTTGCACTTGGTAGGTAGGTGCTTTACCGCCTAAGCCATACCTCCAAGCCCACAATCTGCTTCTGCGTGGTGAGTTTGCTTTTTCTGGACAGTCTGCGTGAGTGAGTTGTGCGTGCATGTGTTTGGAGGGCTGCCACAGTCCAATGTGGGGCCCTTCCCTCCTCCGTGGCTGAACATTACTGCTGTGATTATGGTAGGGTGCATGTATGATGTCAAATTTACTGCCTAACTATAATCCAGTGACCTATACACGCACACTACTACACAGCTATCATCCCTTTTTGCTCCAGAACATTCTATCACCCCAAACATGAACCCATTCGTACTCACCCTGATCAGCCAGCCAGCCCCTGGCAGGCTGCATCCGGCTCTGCCCCGTGGATCGGCCTGTTGAGAGGATGCGCATAAATAAGCCACACACCACGTGCCTGGTGCCTTCCTCAGCACCGTGTTCAGGGTGCAGCAGAGTTGCGGCACGTGTCCTTTATGGCTGGATCACATCCCGAGCTGTGTATGCCAGTCCTGGGAGGTATATTGAGTGGTGGCAAAGCAGAGGCCTGAAAACGCAGGCCTCCGCCCTCCCTCCCCAGGCGGCAGGGTGGGCCCAGGCGGAGTCCGCGGGGAGGTCCCTGCCCACCTTGGCTCCCTCAGCTCTGCTCAGCCGCTGCCCTGCAGTCTCCTGGCGCCTCTATCTCCTTCATGACACTACCATGTAGGATGGTGGTTGCCCTAACCCAGAAATTCCAAGTGGATGTGACTGGGGGGACACTGACTGGAAGGGCTCGCGGCAGTGGTCGTCGGGCTGCTCTGGGCATCCTGGACGCCTGGGTGTGAGTTTTCAGTTCTGCCGAGGGGCCTGGGGCTCGTCTGGCGAGTCCAGTTCATCGTTGAGAACCTCGCTGCTTGCCTTTGAACTTCCTTATGCTGAAAACAGACACACGAGTGTGCGGAAGCCGGGCCCAGAGTGGGCTGGAGAGGAGGGTACACATGAGACATCTCCCCTGGATAAGAAGAGTGAGCCGGCGAGCAAGCCTGGAAGACAGGCGGTGCGGCGGCCCTGCTGAGCTGCTGCAGCTCTGTGGGGTTTGGTGTCGGCTCTGCGGCTCACAGGAGCCTGAGGGAGTGGACCCACGCCACACCCCACGATATCCATGCCGCTCGCCGAATCTCACTCCTCCTCTGCTCTTCCCTGCAGATGGGGTGGGGCGACCTGGGGGTGTACGGGGAGCCTTCCCGAGAGACTCCAAATTTGGACCGGATGGCTGCGGAAGGAATGCTCTTCCCCAACTTCTATTCTGCCAACCCTCTCTGTTCACCATGTAAGTCAGCGCTGGCCCTTGCCCCGGGCTGAGGGAGGGGAGACCAGCCAGGCCCTGCACAGCCTCCACGCTCCGCCCAGCCTGGGGGGTGCAGTCCCTTCTGTCAGGGCTGAGGGGGAGGGGAGGGCCACAACTGCCACTGGGGCAGGATTGAGGAAGTTGTCTGGGGAGCACTTCCTGTCCCCAGGCATAGCAGAGGGAGTGAAGCTGTGCCCCCGCCCGCTGGGTACTCACCCGCCCAAGAGAAGAGCAGTGGACAGTGGGGTGACCCTGCGTGAGGAGGACGGGCCAGGCGGCACTTGGGGTGCGGGTGAAGCTGAGGTGTGAAGTGTGCGTGGCAGACGCTCACAGGGACGGTGCATGTGGGGCTCGAGGGACTGGCTGCGGTCCTGCGGATCGGGTCTGACTCTCCTCTCATCCCCTCCACCTAGCCAGGGCAGCCCTGCTCACAGGACGGCTGCCCATCCGCAATGGCTTCTACACCACCAACGCACATGCCAGAAACGGTTAGTCCTCCCGGCATGCCCCAGGAAAGGGTCGGCCCTGCGGCCAGGTGTGGGGAGGGTGGATCTCAGCTGTACAGTGCAGCTCCCGCCGCAGGCCAGATGTTTATTTCGGTTGTTTTGAACCAGATCTTGTTCTTCCCCTAAAAAAAGAGTTAGGTGGCTAGAGGCACCAGGGTAGAGTCCAGACTTCCTTCCTACACTGGCTCAATGAGAACCGGAGGTTGGAGGACCCCGAGCCCCCCCGGCTCCCTCCCACTAGGGGCTGACTGCATGCTCGGGGTGGCTGAGGAGTAGCACATCATGCTGGCACCAGTGGCTCTATCCAATCCTAACTACTCAGGAGGCTTAGCTACCGAGCATAAAGTTCAGAGCCAGCCCAGACAGATGAGTCTGTGAGACTTCACCTCCAAAATCACCAGCAAAAAGCAGGATTGCAGCATGACCCAAGTGGTAGAATGTCAGCCAAGCAAGCAGGCCAAGCAAGCGCGAAGCCCTGAGTTCAAACTATCACCACCATAATGCCACATCCAGCTTGTGTGTGTGTGTGATTAATTGGAGATAAAGAGTCTCACAGACTTTCCTTCCTGAGCTGGCCTTGAGCTGAGGTCCTCAGATCTCAATCCTGTGAGTAGCTGGGGTAACAGGCGTGAGCCAGTGGGCCTCGTTTACATCCACCCCCACCTGCACTGGTGCTGATGTGCGCATGCCTGCGACAACCCTGACTTGCACCTAACTCTGCCCCTGGTGGCAGCTGCCTTACGGCCACGAGTGGGGGGGGGTGTGCGCAGGGAATGCCCCGAGCTCAGGGTCACGTTGTCCTTCCAGCGTACACACCGCAGGACGTGGTGGGGGGCATCCCCAGCTCGGAGCGCCTGCTGCCTGAGCTCCTGAAGGAGGCCGGCTACACCAGCAAGATCGTGGGCAAGTGGTGAGTTCCAGAACATGCTGCAGCGGGCAGTCAGTTCTGCTTCGTCGTGTTGCTTTGTCGTGTTCTGTCAGGACTGATTGTTCGGGGGCAAGAATGAGTTCTGGAGCAGGGAGCTTCTGAAAGCTGATGTGGCACTCCAGGGCTGTTCCCCGGGCTCACTGGCAGAGCCCCAGGTCCAGCAGGAAGCTGGGACACCAGCCAGGAACAGAGGTGCCTCAAGCACCAGACAGTGAACACACCCTGCTGTCACTGTCTCCAAGCCCTGCCGCGTGCTCTGCCACAGCCGCTCCACACTGCCACACCCACTCCACAGTCACAGCCGCTCCACACTGCCACAGCCGCTCCACACTGCCACACCCACTCCACACTCCATCACACCCACTCCACACTCCATCACACCCACTGCACTCCACACTGTCACACCCACTCCACAGTCACACCCACTCCACAGTCACACCCACTCCACTCTGGCACACCCACTCCACAGTCACACCCACTCCACTCTGGCACACCCACTCCACAGACACAGCCGCTCTACACTGCCACAGCCGCTCTACACTGCCACACCCGCTCCACACTGCCACACCCACTCTACACTGCCACACCCACTCCACACTCCATCACACCCACTGCACTCCAC